CTCTGTTAAAACGTTTTTAAAACTGGATCTTTTAATAAAATAGTAATTTTAGCTTTATAATTGCCTTGGCAGACGCCTTTTGCCTAACTAGTATTCGGGCAAATAGTTTTGCATGTTTATGTGTCATTTGTACACCTTTTAAAGCCATTTGCCTAAAAAATATGTACGGCAGCCAGGGAAAGTGAGTCCCTGTTTAGCAATCGACACCCAGGCATACTCGGTATGTGGCCCCTTACTTGCCGATAACCACAGAGGAAACCTGCTAGCAATGTATCCCCTGGCTGCAAATAAGCAGCCAGGCACCTCAGGAACGTGACCCTTGCTTTCCAATGAATGCCTAAGATTCTCTAGGAAAGGGCCCCTGATAATAGGTGCTAAAAGTGTCCCCTGCTTGACACCAACCTCGCACCAATACACACCAAAGAATCCCAATAAAGGGGTCCCTGTTTGCCAATAGACACCCAGGCTCTACCGAAACACACCAACCCTTCCTTCAGAGTCCCTAAAATAGTATTTGGCAAGCAGAGCCACTCTCTGAGGTTGTCTGAGTGGCTACTGGTGAGAAGAGGCCACCTTCCCATGTTGCCATTTGGCTGAATGCTAGTTAGGTAAAAGGCTGTTGCCTGGCAAATGGAGCTTTAAAGGTCATTGCAACTATTAACCTGGTCAAAAGAATCTTCCTGAAATTGCTATTTGCCTACTGCATATAACTATAACCCATTATATACATTGTATGTCACAGTAGAGTGGATACAAATAGAGTTCTTGCTAGAACGCTGGGCAAGGCGTATCTGTCTGTTTCCTGTATGTTTGCTACATGCATTTATCTTGTTGAACATTGATGAATAAACTCCCAGTTTTCTGCATCTTGCTCCAATTATCTCCGGGGCTCTGTATTTCCACAGACCTTGTTTAGTTCTTTCTAAATAGTAGGAATTGTCTGTTATCCTTTCTTTCTTTCTGAATGGAACATGTTTATTGTGCTCTGTCTCTTCTCTAATCTACAAGTCTCATTCCTGTGTAATTAGACGTGGGCACTGGGCCAGAAACTGCAACCGCTCTCCCAGGTCCCAATTCTATCATCCAATTTAATGCCACATTAATTACAATCAATCGTTAGTAGAGGGAGACGAAGATTGTGGAACCAAGTCAGGGAGAAATGGAAACTTTCTGATATACGTATGAAATATCAAAGTAATTAAAATTTCACAAAAAATCTCAAAATGATCTTGTTCTATTGCTCTTAACTATTAAACATGTCATTACTAATGGGTCACGTTGTTTAAACATGTCACTGTCATTAGGTCACGTTGCTCCTACATGGGACTGTCTCTTTAACCCATTAAACATGTCGCTGTCATTAGGTCGCTTTGCTCCTACATGGGGCTGTCCCTTTAACCCATTAAACATGTCACTGTCATTAGGTCACTTTGCTCCTACATGGGACTGTCTCTTTAACCCATTAAACATGTCACTGTCATTAGGTCACTTTGCTCCTACATGGGACTGTCCCTTTAACCCTTTAAAAATGTTGCTGCCATTAGGTCACTTTGTTCCTAGATGGGACTGTCCCTTTAACCAATTAAACATGTCACTGTCATTAGGTCACTGTGCTCCTACATGGGACTGTCCCTTTAACCCATTAAACATGTCACTGTCATTAGGTCACTTTGCTCCTACATGGGACTGCCCCTTTAACCCATTAAACATGTCGCTGTCATTAGGTCACATTGCTCCTACATGGGACTGTCCCTTTAACCCATTAAACATGTCACTGTCATTAGGTCACTTTGCTCCTACATGGGACTGTCCATTTAACCCATTAAACATGTCACTGTCATTAGGTCACTGTGGTCCTACATGGGACTGTCCCTTTAACCCATTAAACATGTTGATGTCATTAGGTCACTTTGCTCCTATATGGGGCTGTCCCTTTAACCCATTAAACATGTCACTGTCATTAGGTCACTTTGCTCCTACACGGGACTGTCCCTTTAACCCATTAAACATGTCGCTTTCATTGGGTCACCTTGCTCCTACATGGGACTGTCCCTTTAACCCATTCAACGTGTCGCTGTCATTAGGTGACTTTGTTCCTACACGGACTGTCCCTTTAACCCATTAAACATGTCACTGTCATTAGGTCACTTTGCTCCTACATGGGACTGTCCCTTTAACCCATTAAACATGTCTCTGGCATTAGGTCACTTTGCTTCTAATGGGACTGTCCCTTTAACCCATTAAACATGTCACTGTCATTAGGTCACTTTGCTCCTACATAGGACTGTCCCTTTAACCCATTAAACATGTCACTGTCATTAGGTCACTTTGCTCCTACATGGGACTGTCCCTTTAACCCATTAAACATGTCAGTGTCATTAGGTCACTTTGCTCCTACATGTGACTGTCCCTTTAACCCATTAAACATGTCACTGTCATTAGGTCACTTTGCTCCTACATGGGACTGTCCCTTTAACCCATTAAACATGTCACTGTCATTAGGTCACTTTGCTCCTACATGGGACTGTCCCTTTAACCCATTAAACATGTCACTGCTATTAGGTCACTTTGCTCCTACATGGGACTGTCCCTTTAACCCATTAATCATGTCGCTGTCATTAGGTCACTTTGCTCCTACATGGGACTGTCCCTTTAACCCATTAAACATGTCACTGATATTAGGTCACTGTGCTCCTACATGAGACTGTCCCTTTAACCCATTAAACATGTTGCTGTCATTAGGTCACTTTGTTCCTACATGGGACTGTCCCTTTAACCCATTAAACATGTCACTGGCATTAGGTCACTTTGCTTCTAATGGGACTGTCCCTTTAACCCATTAAACATGTCATTATCATTAGGTCACTTTGCTCCTACATAGGACTGTCCCTTTAACCCATTAAACATGTCACTGCCATTAGGTCACTTTGCTCCTACATGGGACTGTCCCTTTAACCCATTAAACATGTCACTGCCATTAGGTCACTTTGCTCCTACATGGGACTGTCCCTTTAACCCATTAAACATGTCACTGTCATTAGGTCACTTTGCTCCTACATGGGACTGTCCCTTTAACCCATTAAACATGTCACTGGCATTAGGTCACTTTGCTTCTAATGGGACTGTCCCTTTAACCCATTAAACATGTCACTATCATTAGGTCACTTTGTTCCTACATGGGACTGTCCCTTTAACCCATTAAACATGTCACTATCATTAGGTCACTTTGCTCCTACATAGGACTGTCCCTTTAACCCATTAAACATGTCACTGTCATTAGGTTACTTTGCTCCTACATGGGACTGTCCCTTTAACCCATTAAACATGTCGCTGTCATTAGGTCACTTTGCTCCTACATGGGACTGTCCCTTTAACCCATTAAACATGTCGCTGTCATTAGGTCACTTTGCTCCTACATGGGACTGTCCCTTTAACCCATTAAACATGTCGCTGTCATTAGGTCACTGTGCTCCTACATGGGACTGTCTCTTTAACCCATTAAACATGTCTCTGTCATTAGGTCACTTTGCTCCTACTCAGGGAAGCATTTTTATTTATTAACAAATAAACTCAGTACATTTGGAGACACTCCCTTAGGATCTATAAATGACTGTGATAACCTTGAACGGAGAAAGTCTTGGTCTCCAAGATTCTGTCTGAGATTTGTTCTGTAATATCTTCGACTCCTTTTTCTCCTCCTGCTATAACTCAGAGCATAATGAATATCTCCATTTAATTTTGGCCTTGAACTCCGCACCGCTCTCTCCTTATATCGCTCCTCTAATTAGTGAGGCCAGTTTGTGCTGAGATTAAATATAGGACACAGCATTTTCCTAATAATTAGCCAGGACTGTGTGTGTATATAATGGGGTCCAAAACCCAAAGTAAGTAGTTTTCGCATTATTTATATATCATCTTACAGTACTCAGACTACACTTCCCATAATGCTACAGGTCCGATACTGGTTCTGTTATTGGTTCCGTTTGTGCAGAATGCTCAATGTTTGTTAGTGATGGTGGGGAATATTTTAATGTGAACGGACAGATATCCGAGGAGACCTGATGGAATAATTTATAAAGGGTTACGTGCTCCATTCTTTGTTTAATAATATTTCATTGTCTTGGAGATTTGTTTTGTTATGAATTACAATTTGTCTGTTTTCGGTCAGATCAAGTGAGCGAACGAAATCCCAAACGCTGAGCCTAACCGTAGCCGAATCATTAACCAATCGAAACATACAATGGAAAGAATGTTCAGAATGATTCGGAATTCTGCCAGAGTCCCCACACAAGAAATGAGTAATGGGAGACAGCCACAAAATGCTGATTTTATTTATGGATTAAGTGAGAAGTGACCAACAGTGGGAAAACAGGACGATCAGTGATACAATCTAGCTTTATTATTTAATTATTTACGGTATATTTAATAAATAATCTATCAATATATAAATAGAGATTTGTGTTACTGCTCCCCTTATTGTTCCCATTGGTTACTTTTTCTCAATTGATCTTTGAACAAAATGGCACAAAAATGCCCAATTCAGTGTGTTACAAAAAACATAAAGCACATTCTATATTTATATTAAGTATTTATTTTGCAGTGCCCTGATTGGATCGTTTTTGCTCCCTTTTCTGTTTGTCTGATCTGTTTTCTGAATCCTTCTTTGTTAATTAAATTCGGACGAAATTCAGCCATCCTGAAAATATTGCCAATAACACGTCTGTAACGGACCGTTTTGCACAAAAGGGGAAAAAAACGTTTAGGCAATTGGCCCCTTTCCCGGAGATGCAGGCACAGCTACTGCAGAACACCAAACACACGAACCGCCAATAAGTGAATGCTCCAAACACCCGAACGGCATACAAGGGAATGCTCCAAACACTCGAACTGCATACAAGGGAATGATCCAAACACTCGAACTGCATACAAGGGAATGCTCCAAACACCCAAACTGCATACAAGGGAATGCTCCAAACACTCGAACTGCCAATAAGTGAATGCTCCAAACACCCGAACTGCATACAAGGGAATGCTCCAAACACCCGAACGGCATACAAGGGAATGCTCCAAACACCCGAACGGCATACAAGGGAATGCTCCAAACACCCGAACGGCATACAAGTGAATGCTCCAAACACCCGAACGGCATACAAGGGAATGCTCCAAACACCCGAACGGCATACAAGTGAATGCTCCAAACACCCGAACGGCATACAAGGGAATGCTCCAAACACTCGAACTGCATACAAGGGAATGCTCCAAACACCCGAACGGCATACAAGTGAATGCTCCAAACACCCGAACGGCATACAAGGGAATGATCCAAACACTCGAACTGCATACAAGGGAATGCTCCAAACACTCGAACTGCCAATAAGGGAATGCTCCAAACACCCGAACGGCATACAAGGGAATGCTCCAAACACCCGAACTGCATACAGGGGAATGCTCCAAACACCCGAACTGCATACAAGTGAATGCTCCAAACACCCGAACGGCATACAAGGGAATGCTCCAAACACCCGAACTGGAACCTCACGAATAGCTGCTAGCAGACGAACAGGAAAAGCACCCAAGCGGCTTACACTCCTGGCAATCAGTCTCTATCAGCATACAGTAAATCCCCCCAAAGACGAGACAGAGCTCCGTGTTGGGGGTCAAGCAGTGGTCTGTTTAATGAGGGCTACCTGCCCAGCATTTATGCAGGTCTCCCACCTGGTGGACACTCCCCTAGGGGACCAGATGGAAGACTGTAACAAAAGAGAGACATGTACCAATTACAGACATACAGAAGTAAAACATCCCCACAATGCATCCTGGCTTCCTCCCCTCTGCCCTGGAGAAGTAATTCAATTATCTCCCAGGACAAAGGCAAAACTCCATTACACATGTGGGGACACAAAGACAGACTATCACTTTAAAATACACAATGGGACAAATGGTACAGTAAATATATACATGTAACATATCCCCAGATAGCTCAGGTCTGAGTGCACATTATTAGGTGAATGGCACTCAGACCACATGAATACAGTTTAATTGCCATGGAGCCAAAGTCTTTAATTCCACGAACAGGCTCCATGGCATGGCTATCTGGGTTAAAACATACCTCCAACATAAAATACCGAATTTACATGCATTCGTTAAATCCGTACGAATTAGAACCAGGGGTTGGAGGTTCAGCGGTGCCTGCACGTAAAAGTGTCCGGGTTTGGTGCAGGAAAGCCGGGCAGAAAAGCGCTGGCTGCCCGGGGAGCTCCAGAACATCGCCATCGTGTGGCGGCTAAGTGTAACCGCGACCACCCAGTAACAATCAATTAAGCTGCGGTTAACTGCAGCTACTGGGTGGTCAATTGCCGGCACACGCTTGTTAAGCCGCGGTTAACCGCGGCTTCAGGGAGGTAAATGGAGGGCGCACTCCAGCTTCTGGGTGGCCAATTAAGGTCGCCGGCCGGCTTCCCACGGCTCTGGGGAGGCTGAAAAGAAACTGGAATCTACCGAACGGCTGTGCAGAAAGGGAGAAATTTACCCTTAAATTAACCCTTTAGCTGCCGGTCCATAATCCAAAGGTAGCAGGTGGGCAACCAGGCTCCTCCAATGCAATGTGGCGAGATTGGTCTCGTCACAACGTCTAATATTTATTATTTAGAAATCTGCTCCCTCTCTCTGTTCGTTTGCTAATCCTGTCTCCGACGTGTGAAGGCATTCATTGTGCGCTGGGATTGTAAATTCTATTCTGTGTTACATATATTATCAGTCTATATACTATTTCAATTTCCATACTCTCATTTTTTTGAAGTCAGCCTTTGGTGTAAGAAAAGGGTTATTTAACATTTTGCAGGAAGGCATCCATCTTGGTATATCTAATGTCCCTCTCTGGTTACCTCTGGGACCTCTGTCAGCTCTGCTCCTGGTGATACGCTGCTTGTTTAACCCACAGCGGGATGGAGACTGTGGACAGTGGGGGGTTTATCACTGTTCATAAATTCGGAGCCGCGGCTATCGGACTGTGCAGAGAGCCAACTCACAAAGTACAGAAACAGTGAACACTGGGAGACATTTTCAATTTGTAGCCATTATTTCTCATTTACCTTTTTTTTGTATAGAAATCAAAAACTTCAGAAAATGTAACTTGAGTGACAAGCCATGCACGTTAGACAGCTGAGGATGATAAGTGTTAAAATATATTCATTCTCATGCTAATCCAATATAATACAGAGTCTGATCTCCCTATACTGTACAATACAGAGTCTGATCTCCCCCACACTGTGCAATACAGGGTCTGATCTCCCTATACTGTACAATGCAGAGTCTGATCTCCCCCACACTGTACAATACAGGGTCTGATCTCCCCCACACTGTGCAATACAGGGTCTGATCTCCCTATACTGTACAATACAGGGTCTAATCTCCCTATACTGTACAATACAGAGTCTGATCTCCCCACACTGTACAATACAGGGTCTGATCTCCCTATACTGTACAATACAGGGTCTAATCTCCCTATACTGTACAATACAGAGTCTGATCTCCCCAATACTGTACAATACAGAGTCTGATCTCCCCACAATGTACAATACAGAGTCTGATCACCCCCACACTGTACAATACAGGGTCTGATTTCCCCCACACTGTGGAATACAGAGTCTGATCTCCCCCATACTGTACAATACAGGGTCTGATCTCCCCCACACTGTAACATACAGAGTCTGATCTCCCCACACTGTACAATACAGAGTCTGAGGTACAATCTCACCTACACTGTACAATACAGGGTCTGATCTCCCCACACTGTACAATACAGGGTCTGATCTCCCCCACACTGTAACATACAGAGTCTGATCTCCCCACACTGTACAATACAGAGTCTGATCTCCCCCATACTGTACAATACAGGGTCTGATCTCCCCCATACTGTACAATACGGGGTCTGATCTCCCCCACACTGTACAATACAGGGTCTGATCTCCCCCACACTGTAACATACAGAGTCTGATCTCCCCACACTGTACAATACAGAGTCTGATCTCCCCACACTGTACAATACAGGGTCTAATCTCCCCCATACTGTACAATACAGGGTCTGATCTCCCCCATACTGAACAATAGAGGGTCTAATCTCCCCCATACTGTACAATACAGACTCTGATCTCCCCCCATACTGTACAATACAGAGTCTGATCTCCCCATACTGCACAATACAGGGTCTGATCTCCCTCATACTGTACAATACAGAGTCTGATCTCCCACACACTGTAATACAGCCTCCCCCCCCAGTGCACAATACAGAGTCTGATCTCCCCACACTGTACAATACAGAGTCTGATCACCCCCACACTGTACAATACAGGGTCTGATTTCCCCCACACTGTGGAATACAGAGTCTGATCTCCCCCATACTGTACAATACAGGGTCTGATCTCCCCCACACTGTAACATACAGAGTCTGATCTCCCCACACTGTACAATACAGGGTCTGATCTCCCCCACACTGTAACATACAGAGTCTGATCTCCCCACACTGTACAATACAGAGTCTGATCTCCCCCATACTGTACAATACAGGGTCTGATCTCCCCCATACTGTACAATACGGGGTCTGATCTCCCCCACACTGTACAATACAGGGTCTGATCTCCCCCACACTGTAACATACAGAGTCTGATCTCCCCACACTGTACAATACAGAGTCTGATCTCCCCACACTGTACAATACAGGGTCTAATCTCCCCCATACTGTACAATACAGGGTCTGATCTCCCCCATACTGAACAATAGAGGGTCTAATCTCCCCCATACTGTACAATACAGACTCTGATCTCCCCTCATACTGTACAATACAGAGTCTGATCTCCCCATACTGCACAATACAGGGTCTGATCTCCCTCATACTGTACAATACAGAGTCTGATCTCCCACACACTGTACAATACAGAGTCTGATCTCCCCACACTGTATAATACAGTCTGATCTCCCCCCCCAGTGCACAAAACAGAGTCTGATCTCCCCACACTGTACAATACAGTCTGATCGCCCCCATACTGTAAAATACAGGGTATGATCCCCCACGCTATACAATACAGTCTGACCTCCCACATATTGTACAATACAGAGTCTGATCTCCCCCACACTGTACAATACAGGGTCTGATCTCCCCATACTGTACAATACAGAGTCTGATCTCCCTTATACTGTGCAATACAGGGTTTGATCTCTCCACACTGTACAATACAGAGTCTGATCTCCCCCATACTGTACAATACAGGGTCTGATCTCCCCCATACTGTACAATACAGGGTTTGATCTCCCCACACTGTACAATACAGGGTCTGATCTCCACATACTGTACAATACAGAGTCTGATCTCCCCCACACTGTACAATACAGAGTCTGATCTCCCCCACACTGTACAATACAGGGTCTAATCTCCCCCACACTGTACAATACAGGGTCTGATCTCCCCCATACTGTACAATACAGGGTCTGACCTCCCCCATACTGTACAATACAGAGTCTGATCTCCCCCATAATGTACAATACAGGGTCTGATCTCCCCCACACTGTGCAATACAGGGTCTGATTTCCCCCATACTGTACAATACAGGGTCTGATCTCCCCATACTGTACAATACAGAGTCTGATCTCCCCACACTGTACAATACAGAGTCAGATCTCCCCCACACTGTACAATACAGAGTTTAATCTCTCACAGTGTACAATAGTAGGTTTACATCGTTACTCCTGTATTTTCTTGCATTGTGTATATTTAATAAGCATTCCTGTTACATGCACCATGTGATATTAGCACATTATCTGACTCAGTCTATATGAACTTGTATAAAGCTAAGAAAATGTCCACATGCTGTGAGTCAGTGTCCCGACCTCGGGCGCAGGAGGAAAATATCTGGAATTCAGCGAATGCTATTTAACACAGAGATTTATAAAGCACATATGACTCTGTTCTACAGCAACGGGATCTTCCAGCCTAATATGAATAAATCAAAATGTTTGCTGCAATCGCTGCTTCGTTAATCAGAGTCATCTGTTTCTAAATTCAAAGGCCAGGCGTGTAAACGAGTTTTTCTCCTTATTTATTGCTCCTGAGGAATAAATCTTTAATTGTTTTTCAAGACTCCTACTGTCAGCGAGAAGAAAATCAGAAACAGCGGCTTTAAATAATGATGCAGAGTTTAATCCAAGCACTTATTTGGGTTGTTATAGAGTAAAGGAAAGCAAAGTGAAGATCATCATTCTAGCAATGGGTAAAGG